GGAGGGTTCAATTTTTACTAAAAGTTTATTGTGAGTTCTATTTTGATAATTTGATTTGTTAAATTTTTTTTTATTCTTGTTTGTAAAAAGATCAAATTAATCAAATAATCAATCACTAAATTTAATCACATTTATTTTTCAAAAAAATAAGCCCTCTGTTTCTTAAATTATATTTTCATTATTTTATTTATTTATTTTTGAAAACAAATGTGATGAAACTTTATGGTTCGGATCAATTTGTTTGTTTGTTTTTTTTTTTTTTTTTTTTTTTGTGTAACTGGTTTATACACAATTACTTCAAATATCAATAAATCGAATCATCAAAATAGAGCGTATGATAGATTCACTTGCCTGAACAGAACTAAATCGGTCCAATCCACGACAAGCCCAGCCCATAAGTGTATGAAATTCAATAACGTTCCGTTTGTTTGGGCAGATAACATTTTCTATTTTTCATGTTTTTTGATATTTAGTACAATAAAAAATGAAAATCAATAAAAAATATTTTTTATAATCAACAAAAAAATAAGTTTATATGGGCAGAAAATATTTCTACTTTTAAAAGACGGTCTCGTGTCCACCACCACGACCACCACCACTGCCACTATCATTATCGCTATCACCGCCATGCCACCATCTCTACCTCCATCTCCATTTTCACCTTCGTTTCACCATCACTACTACCAAACATTAAAAAATATTTTTCATTAGAAAATGTCTATACCACCATCGCCATGTTACCACTACTACAATGACCCTTTACTACCACTACCACCATTACCTCCATCACCATTGATATTTACACACCTCAGACACCACTATCATTTTAGTACCATCACTATCTCGATTGTCGTTGCCGTTGTTGCTACTACCACCTCTTCACCATTACCTCTCCACGACTATTACCACTATCATTACCCTTCACTTATACCACCATAGCTACCATCACTACAACCACTATTCTCCACCACCACCACCATCACCATTGGTAATAGAGTCGGCACCTCCGCCTTTGATACCACCTCCATCATAATATAAAAATTAAAAATAATAAATTTTCAATTTCATGGGTTTAACTTATTTTAATTTAGTATTTGAATTTTTATCAAATAATTTTTAATTCAAAAAAATTAGGATTCAATTTTTAATTTTATCAAATACCACCTTAATCAATGTCTCTCTATCTTAATAAATCCTCAATTACGTAATACGTTTTAGGAGTGAGCAGCGAATATTTCGATCCGCCCAAACCGACCCAACTTAACCGATCCGCCACATTTTAGATGGATGCGTGATGACGAACGGACGGTTGCGGATTGATTTTTTTCAATCTGTCTAGTTTTAAACAGATGACGGATTTGAGATTCCTTTGGCCGCAACCGACAGCCAAATCGTAAGCACCCCTAGTAATTTGTAAGATTTTTTGTTTTCAATTTGTTTAGATATTTTGTGTTTTTAATTGAAAGTGAGTTTAGGTATTTTGTTGTGTTTTCAATTTGGAAATCTTTTTATCAAATGACAAGTGTTGATATTTGGTATTTTTTGTACAAAATATATAGCTTAATTTTGTCATTTTTTTAAAAAATCAAATTAAATAATTTTTGAATAAAAAAATAATTAAATAGTTTTGATAATGCATGATTTTCTTATATGTATTTATTATTGGTATTTGACAATTTACTTTATAATCTTTTGGTTATTTGAGTTAGATTGTTATCCAAAAAAAATGTTGACAAATTGTTATATTATGTTCAAAATTTATAAAAGTTTAAACCGTCAAACCGATTCGCATCCATCCGCCAATTTGTCAATTTGTTCAATTCGCATTCGTCAATCTGACGGATGGATGCAGATTAATTTTTTCCAATCCGCCAATCTAACAAACGGATGACGAATTAGAGATTTTCCGATTATAACCGAACCACAAACACCCCTAATACACTTTGAATTTTGAGACATGATCGTACGAGACATCCATGCCATGAAGGGTGGTGCTATAAATTTACATGCTTTGCATCTTTGAGACTAGAATTCAACTCTCATCTCCCCCCTTCTCACATTGAAGTGCATTTAAGTGGCGTACTAGAAGATTAATTAACCACTTAATAAGGAGAGAGAGGAAAGATCGAGAGAAAAACTATTTAATATTTTTTGAGGACCATATATTTATATTTTTTTATTAATCATCATATACTATAATTAGGGCTGAGTATAGAATTATCCGACCTACACAACCCACACAACCCGTATTGTTATAACTCTATTTTTGACCAATAAATCCCATATTTTGGACTTGTAATCTATATACACTACTAGAAAAGTGGCCTTTTGCTACCATATAATTTGCGACCCTCTGGTTATCAGTCGCAAATAACTTCCTTATTTTCTTCAATTTATTTTCCCCTTTTCCCTTATATTTGCCCTAGCCCCTCACAATGATCGTTCTCTTTCTCGCACGCATTCTCGCTGTCTCTCTCTCAGTCTCACACTGGTATGAATCTCTCACTCTCTCTCTTCTTTCGATCTCACTATCTTGATGTTCTTCTCAATCTTGTGCTTTCTGTTTCTTATATTATAAAGACACAGTAAGCTTTTCCCTGATTCTTTTGAACTCGATCATTGAAGGTACGCTCTCTCTCTCTCTCTCTCTCTCTCTCTCTAGTTTCTTTCTCCGTTTGTTCTTGTTTTTGGATACCTAGGGTTTCGATCGAGTTCAAGGTACTCTCTCTCGGAAGTTCTTCTCTTTGTTTCTATTTTCCTTCATTTCTTCTCATTTTGCGATTTGAAAGTGCTCCTAGGGTTTAGATCGACGGATGACCGTTGCAATATTCAAATTTGATGATTTCTATTATTTGATGAATGCAATGCAATTCAATTTTATTTTTTCATTTCCAATTTTTTTTTGTTGGTTCTCAAGCCTGAAAATTCAGCATGTTTTTATTTTGTCTGATCATGTTTCTCAATTTTTCCTCTATTTATCTGATTGGAAATTGTCAGAAACTATGCAGTACATTCTTCTGATAATATTTATAGTTTTTGCCTCTGTTTTGTTGCTGAGAAAATGCCCGAAAAAAAAAATATGCATCAAAGTTGTTGACAAATTCTGATGAGATACAAAAGTTTTTGAATTTGCAGGACCTTATATAGTGATTATTGGTTTAGATAAGATATATGATAGGTTTCCTAGATAGCATTATGAGCTGCTTAGATAGATATAATGTGGATAGTTTTGGAAAATAAAGGAGCATTAGTTAGATATTTTGATGTAATTAAAGATATATATGTATATCTGAGTTGTAACTATTGTTTAAACAGAGGAGAAACATGTGAATTTCTAATGGTAATAGGTTTACATAAAAAAAAATCAATACTAAGTCCTTATCTTTTGGCATTAGTTATAAACGAATCTATTAGGAACGTTCAAGACCGAGAAGTTGGACATGGGACAACTTCTGTGGTTATTATATCAGTCAAGTGATCCAGCATATAATGATGCATGGAAAGATAAAGGCACTGGTCAGCTTTCTATCAAATGTAAAGAGGGTGTTAACAAGGGCACAGGAGAATTCAAGCCAACAATTCTTGTTCGAAATGATGTATGTTTCTTCTAACTGTTTTTGCTCCTCGAAGTTGAGTTCAACTTGAAATCTTAAGTTTGTAATGCATCTCTGATATTCTTTAGTTCTTTTTAGTGCAGTACCTTACCTTTAAAAAAGGTTTTAATACTTTGTTACAATAATGACCACATGTAGTTGCATCAATAGTCTTGCAAGATACAAAAGTTTTTGAATTTGCAGGACCTTATATAGTGATTATTGGTTTAGATAAGATATATGATAGGTTTCCTAGATAGCATTATGAGCTGCTTAGATAGATATAATGTGGATAGTTTTGGAAAATAAAGGAGCATTAGTTAGATATTTTGATGTAATTAAAGATATATATGTATATCTGAGTTGTAACTATTGTTTAAACAGAGGAGAAACATGTGAATTTCTAATGGTAATAGGTTTACATAAAAAAAAATCAATACTAAGTCCTTATCTTTTGGCATTAGTTATAAATGAATCTATTAGGAACGTTCAAGACCGAGAAGTTGGACATGGGACAACTTCTGTGGTTATTATATCAGTCAAGTGATCCAGCATATAATGATGCATGAAAAGATAGAGGCACTGGTCAGCTTTCTATCAAATGTAAAGAGGGTGTTAACAAGGGCACAGGAGAATTCAAGCCAACAATTCTTGTTCGAAATGATGTATGTTTCTTCTAACTGTTTTTGCTCCTTGAAGTTGAGTTCAACTTGAAATCTTAAGTTTGTAATGCATCTCTGATATTCTTTAGTTCTTTTTAGTGCAGTACCTTACCTTTGAAAAAGGTTTTAATACTTTGTTACAATAATGACCACATGTAGTTGCATCAATAGTCTTGCAACAGAAAATGTCATTGAATTGGAAGTCCGATGAAAAGTGGCACCAATTCAAGATAAGATGATGAACAATTGTTTGAGATTGTTTGGTCACGTGCATCATAGACTAATTAACACAACTGTAAGGATGATTGATTTGATCCTACTTTGGTCACGAGCATCATAGACTAGATAACGTGCATGCAAGGAGAAGTGATTTGATCCACGTGACTAGTTAACATGCATGTAAGAAATAGAGGAATGCTAAGAAGAACTTGAGTTGATGTGATAAGAAAGGACATGAATATCTTAAATTTAAGTAATGATATGACCAAAAAAGAACCAAATTGGAGTAAATAGATCCATGTAACCGATCTCAAGTAATTGGGACGAAAGCTAGTTGAGTTGAGTAGAGGATTTAGACAAACCATTTGAAGAAGTACAACCTTATGTCCTTCTTTAGATTCAGTTTCCAAAATATTTCATGTTCATGTGTTCGTTATGGTTTTTGTTGCTCAAAAATGTTGTATTTGTTTTCCCATTACTTCAAAATTTTAATTTTTTTTTTTCTCTATTGATACATTAATGTAATGTATGATTATAATCATTATAGAAAATGCCATGGCTGAGTTAGGGAGGCTGCTTATGTATGAAGCATCAAGGGATTGGCTGGTGAGCCAATATTTGATGCCTGTTGTTTATTTTCAAACAATATTCATGCTATGGATACTTTAAAAAATAGTATATTATGTGGGTCTAATACAGAACTTAGAAAATTGGACAATCATTGATTTATAGGGGATAATAACATTATGTGAACAACTCTTTCTTTGAAGTCAATTGCAACCTGTTTATCAGTTGTAACAAGGCCCATAATAGAATTGTTGGACTATGAGTAATTTTGGGAGTCTGACACATTTGGAGTCTGTTTGTTATAGGAGGTGGTTAAAAAAGAGTTGCGTTGGAAGCTTTTTCGGTTTCTTACCTTTTTTCTTTAGGAATTATTTAATCTTGGAAGAGTATAGCTTTTCGGTTGTCATCATCTGATGCACTATTTATTTAGCTTTGCAGACTGTTCCTATCTTGAGAGCTGGTCTTGCTCGAACAGAACATGCATCATCAACTGATATGGTAAACTGGGATCACTGGTGGAAGACATTGTTGTGGAGTATGTAACTGATATGGTAATCTGGGATTACTTGTGTCTACTTCATGAGTTGCTGGCAATTCATAGTAAAGGATTTCAAACTCCGTATCTCCTCCTCTTTCCCCACTAATGCTTGGTTGGTAGCAGAGTTAAGCATAGTCCTTCTCTAATTATATTGGTGTTCCAAATTATTCTCTCATGTGATTGAAATTAAAGCAATTATGTTAGTTTAAGAGACTATGTCATTTTTATGTCATTTTTATGTGCTTATGAATATGTCATTTTTATGTGCTTACGAATATTTTTTACTTATGTTGTTATGGTTTTATTGCTGACAGCCTACTATAACAGGGGAGATTCAGTCACCAATGGGTGTTGCCTCTGTAGAATTTATTGATCCAAGGGAACCAGTTGCGGTTAGTATATCAATCTCATTTTTAAAATTTTATTCTTGTCTCTCCTTTCTATGTAATGGATAATCCGAATTTATTTCTTATCTTCTTGTTGTGTATTTAGTATAGGAAGTTCCCCACAATACATTTGTTGCAAGCTAGTTGGGGTTCCCTTTTTTAAGATTTGATGATAACAATGTTACAAATTTATGAATGTGACCTGCTTTAGAAATTATTTAATCTTGGAAGAGTATAGATTTTCGGTAGCCATCATCTGATGCACTATTTATTTAGCTTTGCAGATTGTTCCTATCTTGAGAGCTAGTCTTGCTCTAGCAGAACATGCATCATCAACTGATATGGTAAACTGGGATCACTGGTGGAGCTTGAAGTTACTCTCAAGGTAATTGAAACTCTTGTTGCAAATCACTGATCTGCTATAGAGAGAGGTCACTATGACATAGTTTTATTTTGATTATTTCAAGCTAAACTAACACATTGAAGTGCATTAAATTTTCAGATCAAGTTTGATATATGTTTTTGCAGATTTTGTTGAGGGAATAGTTGATATGATCGAGCCGTTGATGTTGGGAGCCAAAGATTATGTTGTTTTCTTTTCTTTTGTTTTTTTTTTGAAGATTTGAATTTTTTAGTACAGTGTATTTAAGGATGGTTAATGGATAATGTCTATTATAAATTTAATTAATTTGTTAATTTTGTTATTTTTCATTTACAAAAAATTGTTTGGTGCTTATAATTGATTTTTTTGGTTGTAGCAAACTCATATATGATTTTTTTTTAATAAATAATTATTTGCGACAGTAAAACAATGGTCGCTAAAAGTGTTTTTTATTTTTTAATTTTTTTTGCGACGGCAAAATAGCTGTCGCAAAAAGTAGTTTAGGCGGTCGCAAATAATTTGCGACCGTTGTTTTGCCGTCGCAAAAAGTATTTGCCACCCCCACATTTGCGATCGCATAGACCGTCGCAAAAAGTCTTTTGCGACTGTATTTTTATTATTTGCGACGGCATGTGACGGTCGCAAAAAGTATTTTTTTTAGTAGTGAGAGTAGGGTGCGGTTTGAAATATAGTAAGTTTTTGGGTTGCGGACGGGTTGCAGGTTTGAACCGCACCCTCCATAACCCGCCCAAACTTAGAATATATAATTTTTTTTTAAAAATCTAAACCGTTCATCTATGATCTATCCTAGATATTTTTGTTTAATCAAACAAATCAAACCCTAATGCATTAGGAAACAATTTTCATAAGCTCTTATTTGAAACATGAATCAACAAAAACGCTGAGAATCATAATTGATGAAGAGATGCAATATTTTCTTCTTCTTTTTTTTTTTTTTTTCCTTTCATTTTTTCTCTTGGATACATAAATATACACATAATTTTTTTTTTTTTTTGAAAGTATATATATGTAAGTTATCTTGGAAAAGAATGATGCGTTAGGCTTGTCAATGAATCGGGTAACAACTTTATGAATCATGTAAATTTTGTGTAATATTCAAAAATGTAATGTGTTAGTATTTATTTATAACTAAAAATTTATGGATTGAGTTTCTGTACTGTAGGAATTTTTAGCATCCCCTATAACACTGTCCATTCATTTGTTTTGAATGTATCATTGAGAGAACCATACTTGAAATCCCAATTCCGGTCTTTTTTTTGTTTGATCTGCATTATGAGTACTGCTTAGCCTAACATTTGCTTCTATCATTGAACAAAACCGTGATGCATGGAATTGGAATTTAGAAAATTGGGGGAAAATAGCCCAAAATAAATATTTATAAAATGAGAAAAAAAAAACTCAAAAATAAATTTCTAAAGAAAAAAGTCCAAACCGTAAACCGTCCGCACATCCACGAACCCTATCCGCACAAATCGCAAACCGCACTGCGGGCGGTTGCGGTTTGACTTTTTCCCAAATTGCATAGATACGGGCGGATCAAAACCAAACTGCAAACTGTACAAATCCAATCCGCGACCACCCCTAATTATAACTACTCATATTCCTTAATCACCAGATATAAAATCATGAGTTTACATTCTCCACCGGTCACAGCACTTTAAAGCACTAAATAGCTGTACTCTAAGAGCACCCAATACACAAGGCCAACTTTTGGCAAAAATACCACTTCAGGCCCGAAAAATTGACTGAAAAACAATGCCCCAAAATTTTGTAAACTACTATATTAGCCTTAAAAAAATCTCATTGGAATTTACAGAGCCTCAACAAAATTCAGTTATAATTTAAAAATAATAGATTGTTGATGTTATAAATTAGTAAAACTAATAGATAATTGTCTTTTAATGAAAGAAATTAAAAAACTTATTGATGCGGTGAATTGCTTGAAATTATTAAATAGTTATTTTCCAAACGTATAAAATACAATTGACTATATACTACTTATAGTTACACTTTTCGAATTAAAATTGATTAAATCTTACGTTTGCTCAACTATGTTAAATGAAATATTAAATGAATTAGCAATTTTATCCATCGAAAATGATTTAACTTATATATTGGATTATGCGAACTAAATTAATAATTTTAGAATTAAAAATGCAAAAAAATGAGGTTTAAGTGATTTTTGTTACAGTTTGTTTACTTTTTATTTGATACTTCAATTTAGATTATTTTAATCATTTTCTTATTGTAAACTTTAATATATATTTAAGTAAATTTTAATAAATATATATTGGAAGTAATCTTTTCACGATGATTGTCAGATATCCAATTCCTAACTCGTCCATATCACACGATTCAAGGACATCAAAGGCATTAGATGTTGAGGGGATAGAAGACTGCGTCTCTCTCTCTCTTTGTTGATCAATGGCGTTGAACCTTGCCCACCATCTCTCCCCTTTTTCTTCACCACTTCCCATTTAGTCGGAATTTGTGTTTTAGTGTCCTTGACTCTCCACTCATGTTTGAAGGAGGGAGGGTTCAAAGACTTTGGCTTTTGAGGGCACAAATTAGTGGTATGGCCAAAAGTCTTACAACCATCACACCTTTGGGGCTTCCATGGTACCTCAACTTGAATCTCATATGGGTCACCATAACCAAGATTTATTTTGAAAGACTTAGGGATCTCTTTATTTGCTGGCACTTCAATACAAATTCTCGCAAACGTAAGTCTGCTTCTCTTGAAAGTTGGCTCATCCAAATAAAGAGGAGTTCCCAAGATGCTAGCTATGTAACCCAAACCCTCTTCACTCCAAAGTTCCAAAGGAACATTGTACAACTTCACCCACAATGGCACACTTGAAAATTCACACTTTGTTAGTTTTAGTCCAGGTTGCCATTTTTTAATAACAATCAATCTAGCCCCAACATAATAGGGGACATTTTCCAAGATTGTGTCCATAGCCTCTTCACTTTTTACTTTAAAAATAAAAAAACCATTGTCAATGGAGACAACGTCCTCAAGCAAATTTCCCCAAAGTTTCTCCGCCCAAGTTTTCACATAATAGAAAGAAAATCTTTTATCAATGAAGTATCCAACCAAAGCATTTTCCCAATGAGAAAAGCCTTTTTTTGAGATCTCAATAGGGACATTGTAAATGCTATCTACTTGGTTCTCAATCTTATGGACACCTGTTTTATACTTCAATTTTGACACCTTGTTAATCTCTTCTGTAACTAAAGAGCTCCAAGTTTGTAGAGGCTTACCTAATATAGCAGGTGTATCTAGGGATGGCAATGGAGGTTAATGGGGTGGATATTAATTCCCCATCTCCATTCCCCTATAATAAATTTTCTCCATTCACCATTCCTCATTCCCCGTGGGTACCACCCTCCCCATTTCCTAATGGGTTTGGATTTTCCCCAACCCACTTTAATCCCCATTTTTATTTTATTTTTATTTTTTATATTTAATGTTAACAACCACTTCTTCTTCTTTTTTTATTTATTTATTTTTATTTATTTTATTTTAAAGGTTCACAACAAAAGCTAAATATACCTTCAATCTTTTTTTCTTTCTTTTTTAATATATTTAATGTTAACAATTTTATTTATTTATTTTTTTTTAAAGGTTCACAACAAAAACTAAATATACCTTCAATCTTTTTTCTTTCTTTTTTAATATATTTAATGTTAACAACTTCTTCTTCTTTTTTTCTTTTTTCTTTTTTTTTCTTTTTTTAAGGTTTTAGCTAAATATACCTTCAATCTTTTTTCTTTCTTTTTTAATTTATTTAATGTTAACAACTTATTTTTTTTAAATTTTTTTTAAGGTTCACAACAAAAGCTAAATATACATTCAATCTTATTTTATTTTATTTGGTTCAACAACAAAATCAAATACACATGAATTAATTAATTAAAAAGTTTGTTTTATAATAACCAAACATATAATTTTGAGATAATCAAATAAGTTTTAGTAATTAAAAAAAATGTGGAAGAACGTGAAAAAAATTACAACCATCTCTCTCTCTCTCACTCTCACTCTCACTCTTACTCTCACTCTCACTCTCTCCCCTACATGTTATAAGAACCTGTTTACAATGTTATAAGAGCTTGTTTGAAGAAATAAAATGTGAAAGAACCTGTTTGAAGAAAGTGTTATAAAACCCATACTAAATTGCATCAGGGCATAAACAATGAATCGTTTGTTGATCTCTTAGCTACGGACATTTTAGATATTAAACCATCTTTCTCTTAGCAAATTTGAACCGTTCATTTTAATTTATCCAAAACCTAATTATACCTTTTAATAAATCTGAACCACTCATTTTAAGATATTTATGCCTTACCACACCCAATCCATCCTCCATCTTCTTCCTTTAGTCCCCACGAATTTTGTTGTTTATTACTTTTAAAAAACAAAAAATGTTTTTTCAATTAAATTTTTACTAATTTCACAACACCATCACCACTATTCTCACCTTCACTATCACACTACCATCACCATAGCCACTACCATCATCACTGCCGCCATCATCCCACCACTATGTAACAATCTCTACTTTCACCTTTACTGTCACACTACCATCACTATAGCCACTACCATCATCACTGCCGCCATCACCCCACCACTATGTAACAATTTCTACTTTCACCTTCGTTCCATCACCACCACCACCAAATATAAAAAAATATATTTTGAATTTTTTTTATAAAAAATATTTTTCATTAAAAAATATTTTCTATCTAAATAAATGAAGCATAACATTGGGAAACAAGCTGATTTCAGTTAAATCTGTTCATAACTAAGAAAAATTCTTTTAATTTAAAAAAAATTATTTAGTAAGATTTTGTATCTCCTTTTTGTTTTTGTAGCAAATAAATCTTTGTACCCATCATTTCTAACCAATCACGACTCATGCTCATGCTTGTTTTGATTCTCTGTAATTTCCTTATTTTCAAATAAATTCATATATATATATATGTTGTATAAATTGTGTGATAACGTAAAACAAATAGATTCATACTCATTAATTAAAATTTCAGAACAAGCAAACCATTCTGAAAATTACAATACATAACAAAATAAAATAACATAGAAAAACAAACCGAAACCTATACTAGACAGTGTCCTTAATTTTTTTAAATAAATTTAAAAAATTCTAGATATGCATAAAATTTGACAAGAATAATGTGACAATGTTAATTAATGTGTATTTGATTTTATTGTTGATCCAAATAAAATAAAATAAGATTGAATGTATATTTAGCTTTGGTTGTGAATCTTAAAAAAAAAAAAAATGATTGTGAACCTTAAAAAAAAATAAAAAAGATTGGAGATATATTTAGCTTTGGTTGTGGATCTTAAAAAATAAATAAATAAATAAATGGTTGTGAACCTAAAAAAATAACTTTAAAAAAAAAAAGATTGAATGTATATTTAGTTTTGGTTGTGAATCTTAAAAAAAAAAAATGGTTGTGAACCTGAAAAAGGAAATTAGTTGGTACCCATCCCCTGTGGATATTTAAAAAATATCACTTACCCTAACCAATAGATAAGAAAAAGAGAAAAAAACCCATATATTTGAATTAGGTCTCCATAAATACCCACAAAATAAATTATCCATTGCCATCATTAAAAAATTCGCTTCGTACCTCAAAAAACTTGGAGTCAGCTCTACACAATACAGCAAAGAAATGTAAATGCCCATTTATCAGATCCATTTCTTTTGCCAACCAAACTCCACCAAGAACCTCTCAGGCTGCCATTAAGAACATTCAAGTGTCCTCAGTCACAATTTTATTAGTTTTGCTTACATTTTTTTTTAATTTTTTTTTTTTAAAATGCGACTGCGATAGTACTTAAAAATGGGGACAAGGGGTGCCTGCTGTGCTTTAAGCACAGCAGGCTGTGCCGTGAATGCAAAAATAAGGGGCTTCAAATATTTTTGTTTTTTTTTTCTTTTCTTTTTGCCCTTTTGGCTGTACAGGCACCCCTCTCCCTAAAAATGGTGGTTCTAAAAACAACTTTCATGAGTGTATACTTAAATATTTTTGCGTCTTCCTATGAGGTCCTTCAATGCCCCATTAATAACTATTTAAAAACCAAGATTTATTCTAGATAGAGTTTTTTAAAAGCACTATTCAAAAAAATTTACTTTTTTATTTTTTATATTTTTTTATTTTTACTGAATTTTTTAAATATTTTAAACATTTTTTTTTTTAATTTTAGACATACCTAACATAAATATAATTAAAAATTAAAAAATTTGTGAAAAAAACATTTTAAAAATTCACTAAACACCAAAAATATAAAAAAGAAACACAAGAATTCAGTACATTTTTTTGTATTTTTATGTATTTATTAATTTTTTAAAATATGTTTTCACAAATTTTTTACTTTTTAGATACATCTAAGTAAGGTACATCTAAAAAAATAAAAAAAAATGTTTAAAATTTTAAAAATATTTACTAAAACAAAAAAAATAAAAAAAAAACAAAAAAATTCAATTTTTAAAAAACTTAATTCAAAAAATTCATTTTTTAAACAAAAATGTTAGAGGTCCCAAAAATTCTACCAAAAGTTTTACCAAATATCTCACATGGGTGTGAGACTGGGACCCACATTCATGTGAGACATTTAGTAAAATTTTTGATAGAATATTTAGGATCTCTAGCATTACTCTTTTTTAAAACAACTTTCTTGAGTGTATACTTAAGTATTTTTGCGTCTTCCTATGAGTTCCTTCAATGCCCCATTAATAACTATTTAAAAACCAAGATTTATTAGTATTTATGTTTCAAGATTTGATAGATTGCCTAGATCCCCAGATTATCACGTGACATGTGATTGTTTCACGTGATACATGCCCATGGTCAACTAGAAGAAAATGGGCTTGGCAGCCCGACCCAGAGGCCTTGGGGTGGATTCACAGCTCATTAATCCACAAATGGGCTTGGCATCACAACCCAGAGGCTTGTTATCCTTGACCCAAATTGTAGTGTGTGTTCAAGGTCATAAAACCTAGATTAAGAGTTTGTTTGGTGTAATTTATTACAAGCTAAAAAATGATAATTCAAAAGCAAAAGTCCAAAACTCTCCTCCTCCAGCTTCCAAATACATTTTTTTCAACTTATTCAAGTTATTTTGCGTAATAAATTATAAGCAAAAAATGTATCAAACGACTAGCGCAAGCTCTAAAATATATTCAAATAAGTTGTACCAAATAACTCCAAAGAGTGGTGAGGGTGGGGGCAAAATCCATGGCTAATTAGCTCATTACATAATTAAAATGGAGATCTTCATTCTTATACATAAGGTTGCAACATATCATTCAGCTTGTTTGGTTTTAGTTTTCAGAATTCACTTTTTAGAAAATTGAAGCTTTTATTTTCTGTATTTTTTTTTTGTTTTCACTTAATTTTTTTTAATATTTTAGGCAATTTTTTAAAATTTTTAGATACATCTAACATAAATACATTTAAAAAGTATAATATTTGTAGAAAAAAAAATCTTTAAGAAATTCACGATATACCAAAAATACCATATATATATAAATTTAGTATATTTTTCATATTTTTGTGTATTTATTGATTATTTAAAATATTTTTTATTAATATTTTACTTTTTAGATACATTTAAGTAAGGTACATCTAAAAAAGTTATAAAAAATTGCTTAAAAATTTAAAAACATGACTAACAATAAAAATACAAAAAAATAAAAACTCAATTTCTAAAAAATTAAATTTAGAAAATTGAAACTAAATACAGTGATTAAAACTTAAAATTAACAATCTATATTTGTGAAATCAATTTAAATTCTAAAATCTTCTTATACTGTTTTTAAAATTGGGAAAAAAAATGTTACCATGTTTTTTTTCATAACCATTGATTATAAATTGAACCACATTTTATTCGTATAATATAAAATTATCCAGATCCCTTACTAGTAGTGGGATGTTGAAGTCAGATTAATTCAACATTTGCAACTACATAAAAATATTATATTTATTTTTTTAAAAAATGCCGAATTACACTAGTTTACGATTTGCATCACTTTAATTCTGTAAATCAAAACAAAAAAAAAACATGCAGCGGAATAAAGTGTTTAGATCATACCTCGTTTGATCTAAAACCTCGTGGATAAATCACGTGCTTCCATACTCAATCAATCAATCCCAGCAGTGGGGTGATATTACAATGGTGAATATCACCCACACAAACCACAGTGCAAAATGACTTTGATCGTTATTTTTGGGAGAGAGTCAGTATCATAGGTAGAAACAAAACATACGTTGTTTCTCTCTTGGTTACCCATAACCATATATCAGATATATATTATATTTATCTCATTTATCCATTGGTTAAATGAGATAATATCTGATATCTATATCATCTATCCATATCATGATATGATAGATATATATCCTGAGTGGCTCATCCAAATAGGTTTGAATTTAAATTCAAAACCCATTTGGATGAGGTTCAAAAGGTTCTAAGGGTCATGCCACATGGGCGCCCAATTTCTAACAAATTCTTTATTTTTTAATTGTAATATATTTGATCGTAAATTTTAAATCTCGTTTCACATAAAGACAATTGAAAATATCATTTCATTTGCAAATGGAAAATGTTCAATTTTAAGGACAAAGTTATCAATTGAATAAAATATAAACGAGTTTACAAAAATAAATGTCAAACAATTATTTTTGAATTTTAAAAATTGTTTCTATCCCATTAAAAATAAAATTATATAAAAATGATAAATCTTTTACATTTTTATTTTTTTACTAAATTAAATTTTATTATGTAATTGGATGATGATCATGTAGTGGGTGGTTGTTTTTGTTGATATTTTTAGATAGTTATTATGTAATAGATGATTGTTTTTATTGTTAACAGATATTTTTGAATGTTTATTACACTTTTAACGTGTAATCAATATGTTTAATATATGAAATATTTTTAGTTTTCGATTTTTTGATTTAATGGATTGGTTTAATAATGAAATTAAAATTGTTGCCATATTTGATTTATGAAAAAATAAAAACCAATTTAGCGAAAATAAATATAAAAAATAAAAAAATTATTTCTACCCTCCCAAAAGATAAAATTATATAAAAATGATGTGTTTTTTTATATTTTTTTCATCAATTTATCTGAAAATAAATTCTGAAACCAAACCAAACCAAACATAACTTTATAACTAAGAAAGTGCCAACATTATTCATTAAAAAAAGTCATTACATGTCAAATAGCATATAAGTTAATCAACACAAATAAGTTGTATGACGATTTTGTCCTTAAAATAAACCTTTTGTAAAGGAAATATCTTTGATTATCCTTATTTAGAACAAGATTCAAAATCCTTAATCAAATATATCATAATTAAAAAGTCAAGTATCAAAGTGACACGAATCTTAGATTATAAGGCTGGTTAGTGTAATTCGCCCTAAAAATAAATAAAATCTTCCAATTATTTACCTGATCAATGTGTAAATAATAGAAAATCAGGAAGTCCCTTCTTTCTATGCCCCTTTGTTGAGCTCTTACATTTTATTAATTGGAGGAATTAATGTCCGGGAGAGCGGAGAAAAAAATTACAAACACATAATGGTGCAAGTAAAAAATTGTAAAAGTATAACGTTGTGTTTGGTTGGGAAATTTAGAGAGAGATTTGAAAATGAAAAGAGAAAAGATGTGTGAAACTAGATA